TGGCTTGAAGACTTTTCCAGTTATAGAAACTTTCTGGGACAATGTGTAAAATCCGTGGGAAAATAACGCCGTAAGTATTTTCCTCATTGTGAGTTGTTGGCCACTGTCAATCTTCTTACGCCATTTATTATTTTTTTCTTGCAGGAAATATTTTCATCCTTGTGTGACCTGGACCACAATGGTTTGTCCTACATATTTGAAGTGTCCAAATACACTCCCATCCTGAACAGTGGTGCCAAGCTCCTGGCCCACCCGCTACAGAGACCACAGCAGTTACAGGCGGCTTACAAAATTGGAACGACGCCTTCAGCACCGCAACCCATGATGGAAGAGAAATTGCACTGAACTGACCACACGTTATTATGAAGACTAGACTAATTGCAATATTTTGATATAGGCTATATATATGTGTAATGTTTTTTGAGACACCTGAATAGACATAAAGGTCTTGAATGTCTAGCTCTTACTGGCAAATTTGAAGACAAATGAGAGAGGGGTAGGCTCAGAGCAACCTCCTTAGAGAACCTAAACAGATGGGTTTGTATAGTATAGGGTTTTACGGCGCTCGCAACTGCTAAGGGTTTAGGGGAAAAATGAGGGTAACATAGCTTTTCTGAGAGCATCCAGGCAAAGGAATGAATGGAGAACCATGATCGCGTATGTCTGCCTAAGATATGGCACTTGATGATGATGATGTGTAATAACGCCGCAAAATTAGTTGCATGTTGTTTTTTTTAGTTTACTATAGTATGTGTACGAAACTAAAGATCTCTTCTAACTCTCCAAGTGGGTGAAAACAGTTGTACTGTAGCTGATTTTTCTTCAAAGTTATAATCACTTGGAGTTTGGAAGTCGTTAACACAAGGTTTTGAGAAAATAGTTTTACCTGAAATCTCAAAGCAGCTGAGTGGGACAAGTGACGCATTTCGTCGTGTTGCTACTCATATTTTGATATTTTGATATTTTGATCCTTATGAGGTAGAGTCTCCTACAAAAAGTGCATGGTGAGTTAACTCTCTAAAGACTAACTGATATCTTCCCTCATGGTTTATGCAATGTGGGAAAGGAGTTTGGTAATTAAGATTAAATGTAGCGCCAAAATCATTCATTCCTTACTGGGATGTTTCACCCCATAATCTTAGAAATTATTTTTAAATGCAGTTTATCTTTTCTGGAGTATTTCATTTCTGCACATTGTTCATGTGCTGAGAGGTAGGCCTACCACGTGTCCCATTTTGAAAATGGCCTACGTTGCTATTGTGTCTTCTTACTCGTTGTTGCATTCTCCAGTCAACGATTTACTCCCCAGAATGCAGTATTTTGTGTTGCTTTAAAAAAATTCTCTTCTCACCTAAAATAATGGTTGGAGTAAATGCTGTTCATTTTTATTCTCCTTAACATCTCAATAAATTTGAATAAATAAACTGACCATCTAGAGCAAGCACTATTCTTTAATTGGAATATATGAAATTGAAGGTGTTATAAAGAAACATTTTTTGTATGCTACCAAAACACAGGGACTAAAATTACTTCTGGTACAAAGTCAAATAAATGAATACAGATGCTTTATTCCGACTTCTGCTCAGTCGAAAGGAGGTAATAGTAATTGGTTTATGAATTGCAAACTTTTGTCAGTGTAAACTAGACTCTTTTCATTTCCATTTTATTGTGAAAGTGTTTGGCCAGATATGGCCAGCATGGTTTGCATGTCGCACAAGCCGTCTGTAAAATATGACCGATGCAGTCTCAAAGAGTTGAACATCACTGACAGCATCAAGATCACAACTCTAAGCAGTTTTCTGAAGTGTCAGGCATTATAGTTATCATGAGAAAAGACAAATGTTCTTGTGTGCAGATGTTCAAATAAGTTTCCTATATTAGCAATTGTGAGAATGTACATGTTTGTTGAGATGAGAGGTCTTTCAGTGCTTGTGTGGGTTCCAGTTTATTAGAGTTCTTTGGATATATATGCAGTCTAGCACACATTTAGTGAAATCCGCGGGACACTGACATCTTTTCGTTATGTACAGATTTCGCTAGATATGTATTTTACTTGCAAAGAATATACATCATGTAAGAAAAAAATTTGGAATGGAAAATCTGTTTGCTATATATGTGAGTGTTTCGCTCTTGTACACATTCACTATATGCATGCTAGACTATACATATATATATATATATATATATATATATATATATATATATATATATATATATATATATATATATATATATATACATGTATATGATATTCTTAACTTTTTTTTTGCTGGTATTGTGTAAACTCAGGATGAGTGGTGTGATTCTGTGACAATTTATTTGATGAGAAGACTTTACAATTGATGTACGCCAGCATGAGTATAAGCCAACATGTCTATGAATAAAATAAATTTAAATAGCATCACAACGGGCTATGTGCTTTTTATTCTAATTCAGTCCACGCCAAAATGAAGAAGCAAAGAAACAAAAAGCAAGTGTATTTTTATGTTAATGTACACATGTATGTGTGATTTATCATCTAAAATTTAGATGGTGACTTACTTTTACTCTTAATGTATCATTTTTATTTGTTTTATAAATTGATTACCTGTTTTCTTTATGATTAAAAGCAAGTGTTGTCAGTACTGCTACCCAAAAAATTTTGCAATTATACAAGTTCTTGATAGCGTTCACAGTGCACCTTAGAGGAAAAGATGTCAGAATCACAGACTGTAATTCTCAGCATTATCTTGCCTGTCTTTCCTTCTCACCTCCTCTACTCTGTCACTACTGTCAGTTAATTCTGCTGGGGAGTCAACAAAATCCTATTTTATATTCTCTCACACGAAGTGTAATATTTCTTAGAACAGCTGCTATTTATAACAGATAAAGTCACCAGTCTTTTCAATTCTCGAAAAACAAAAGAACCTGGAGGATTCTATGTCATTGTTAACATGCTTATTTAAGTTCTTTTTTGTATGGTTCATATGTCGCTTGTTACTGTATCAAAATATATTTTCCATTCTGTCAAAGCTGTGTTTGACATTTCTTATTATCATTTGATGTTAAGCTTTGTGTGGCAGCGTGGTGAAATCAGGCGCTCGTCAAAATACAGAAATTGGAGAAGCAGGTATTTTTCTGCCAGTTTGGAAATTTTTATAGAATTGTTATTTTTTGGCCCAAGCTCTTTATGTTCATCTATATATATAAAAACGCATTTCCATGTGAATTATACTGAAAAACATTAATTAAAGGCACAAAATATTTCATTTTTCTATTTTCATTTTTTCAAGGACTCTTTAGCTATTGGAGTTACTAAACTTTGGGGCCATTTTCTTGCTAATTTCACCACTGAAACCAGGAGACCTCATTTCCTTCAATCGCAAATATCTTGAGTTCTATTCAAAGATGGATATTCATTTTATTGAAAGCAAGGCAAATAAATCAGCTTTCTGATGATACCGGTACCAGTAACTCCACATGCTCAAAAATTGCAGAGCGCCTGATTCCACCGCACCGTGACACATATGTGTTATGTCTATGTCTGTTTGAATTAAAGGGAAGCTTGTCAATGTAATAACTGCAAATTTATTGTAAGGGATAGAAGGAGACACACACACAGAAAAGACAGATGGATAGAAAAGGCAAAGCAATGAAAGTAGTGAAAGCTATTCCCCCCCCCCCCCCCCCCTGTATTTGTATCTATTTGGAAGGAGGATGGGGGCTGTTTGACGTATCATGATACTTCAGCTCACGTCCTGCCTTGATAGTTTGTCAGTGACACCCTTGAGCAGACTGTAAAAGGCATCCTTGTCTTCTTCCGAAGCATCATTTATTTTAGGCGTAGATCGAAAATAAAATAATCACCTTGATGCTCTTGCCTCTTGTGGTAATGGTAAATATACAAAGCCATGATGATCCTCTTGCCATACAGTTCCCATCCTCGTACTGATTTCTAGGCTTTCTTTACTAACTCAAAATGATTGCAACTCCTTCAGCATGGTGCTTGTCTTTCCAACTAGAGTACCATCAGGTTTAATGGACTCCTAATATAGTAGCCTACACGTATCTGTCCCCATCGTTTTATGCAAGAAAAATTATGAAATTATGCAAACTGAGCCCAAAAATGTGATATTATGCGATTCTGTTAATTTTAACAAAGAATGATAAAGGAAAATAATCAAAAATTAAACAAAAAATAATCAAATTTTGCTAAATTATGGGGCAGGGGGGGGGGGGCAGACGTATTTAGTAAGTATACGCAGCCTGTATTATCTCTTCATCCCTTGTGACACTGGAGCACTCTTTCCTGTTTCAGTAGTCGTGAGATTGCGGGTTCGGGAGTTTGAGCCTCAGCTCCTTCCGACGTTGTGTCCTTGGGAAAGGCACATTAATTACACATTACACGAAGGCTCACGAATTTCCAATTTGGTTCAGTCCTTTTGGAGATGGACGATAAACTCGGGGGTCCTGCCTCTTAAATGAACTAATAGTAGTAATAGTGTTGATAGGGGGGGTGAAACGTTTATCTTTTCATTTTCACCATTTTTTAAAAACACTTGAGCGTTCTGTCTTGTTTCATGAACACGTTGCGAAAATCCACAACGCTACTCGGAGTCTTATTCCATCGCTGAGATTTCGGGTCTCCACTTTCCTTCATTGGTCCTGCTGGTGCAGAACCTACTCAGTCTCCTAAGATCCATAAGAAATTTGACGTGTTTTGTTTGTTCCCGTCACGTAAAAAAAATTATTACGGGGTCGAGTGGTTGGTCCTCCGCCAACTGACTCTTTTTTTCGAGAGACGGACCTACGCACTTTAAGTCCGCCTCTTACCATACGCAGTATCACGGCAGGTGTTATTTTCTGCTCCTCCATTGTTACTGTACATGACGTACATGTAGAACAATGGGCCCTCCCCCACCTGTAGGGGTGCCCTCTATTTCTCATCTGCCTGCTTCTCTTATATTTGCCTTGTCTTTCTTCTCTCTCTCTCTCTCTATCTATCTCTCTCTCTCTCTCTCTCTCTCTCTCTCTCTCGCTCTCTCTCTCTCTCTCTCTCTC